TTCGCTTGGAAGCATGGAGGAAATATTTCCTCTGTGTTGACCCTCCTCTTTCTTGACTGGACACTGGTTCAAGTCCATCTGGTGGGGTCTCTGTGGCCTCCTTGATCAAGAGGACAGGTGACTCACCACAGTTACAGGACATTTTGAGAGATGCTCCACAGTCCCCTGGAACTTAGTTGACTTAGGAGGGCAAGGAGCAAAAACTGCCCTTTATGTCCTTTAGACCAAATTACTATAGGCCTCAAAGTATGGCTGTTAAACATCCAAGAATGTTAGTTCCACCAGTCTGGTACTTTTAATTCCTGTGTGTCATGTAGATAAAGCTTGGGCAAAGACCAAACACTCTCAGATACCTTGCCTAGACATATATTCTTTGATCTAGTTCTATGTATAATTTGTCAGTAGGTTGTTGGACTAATATGGTTCCTTCTGGTTTTTTAAAAACTAGCTAGGCATTATTTGTCTCTTGCATTGTCTAACTCTTCCACCATGGTTTACCCCTTTAAGGTGCCCCCATTTTTCCTATTTCTCCCTTAATAATACCCTTCTCCTATGGTCCCACCTCTCTTGAGCTCCTTCTTTCCCTTTATCCCCTAGGTTTCTTGTATAACCTTCCCTCCCACCTCCCCTTAAAATTGACAACTGATTGCTGCTAGATGAGGAACAGCTGATCAATCCCCCTCCCCTTAAAATTGACAACTGATTGCTGCTAGATGAGGAACAACTGATCTTCCTAAAACAAGGATCTCTAGATAGGCTGACTAGACTCAGCAGACAGACAAGCACTGACGAATGGCTGGGGGAGCCAACAACACAGTGGACAGTAACAGGGATGACAGAGTATATGGGCTCCAGTGGACGGGGAGGATATGGGAGGGTGCCATTTGGGAAGTGGATATATAGATGAAATAAGGTTGTTTGGGATGTTCTGTATGATATACATACACAAAAATCAACAAATTAAAAAATGACTTATATTTGAGGAGGAAGCATAAAAATTTACTTCATGTTAATTAGTAGAGGTGATAAACAGTACCATTGAAATCTACCTGATGACTTTATATCCATACTCAGGTGCCAAGGACCCAACCATGACTAGTAATAATCAGATTAATAGAGATTAGAGACACATGTACAAACATCTAAGCGTTAGTAGCATTAAAAATGAGTCTTTCTGCAGGAAACAGCATATTTTAAAATGAAATGGAGATCCTTTTTAAAGGTTAAAAACTCATTCAATTTTATGTCTTACAGGTCTATATACTAAGCTCAATATTGTATAACCATATTTAATTCAACTGTTAACCTAAAAAATTTACAGCCACTTTTGAAAGAGATATATCCTTGCTCTGGAAATTGTTATTGAATATGTTATAGCTGTAATGAAATGCTTCTTCTAATCATGTGGTTATTTAAAAAAAAACATTCAAAATTTTTAAAAAAAACACATTAATTCAGAAAAAAAAAAAGCTGGAGAGATGACTTAGTAGTGGTTAAGAGTCCTTGTTCCCAATATCCACATCATGTGGTTCACAACTGCTTCTAACTCCAGCTCCAGAGGATCTGACACCCTTTTCTGGCCTTTGCTGGCACCCACATACATATGGCATACACTCACACTCACACATACACACATACCCATAAATAAAAATAAAATAAATCTTAAGGGCTACAGAGACAGTAAGAGTGCTTGCTGCTCTTGCAGAGAACCAGAGTTCAGTTCCCAGTACCTACATCAGGGAGCTCACATTGGCCTGTAACTTTAGTTCCAGAGGATCTAGTGCCCTCTTCTGGCCACCATGGGTACCTGTACACAGAGACACAAATTAAAAAAATATATATTTTTAAAGAAGTTTTAAAATTTTTATTTGTTGCTGGGCGTGGTGGTACACATCTTTAATCCCAGCACTCGTGAGGCAGAGGCAGGCAGATCTCTGTGAGTTCAAGGCCAGCCTGGTCTGCATAGCAAGTTCCAGGACAACTGGGTGAATATGATGTGCTTCAAGCAAAGGAATGGGCTTTTTAGAGGAAACGGATATGACAAACCCTATGAATATAGTGATAGAGCTCATCTCCCAAGAAGAAAGAGATGGGGTTGGAGAGATGCTCAACTGTTAAGAGCACTGGCTGCTCTTGCAGAGGACTTGGGTTTGGTTTCCGTGACTAGCAACCATCCCTCTCCTTACTCCAGTTCCAGAGAATTCAATGCCCTCTCCAGTTCCAGGCGATCTGATGCCCTCTGTTGGCCTCTGTGGGCATTGTATGACAGGGATGCACTTACATGCATGCAGGCAAAACATACATACATGTTAAATAAAATAAAAAGAAGAAGAGAGCTGAATGTTTCCAAAGAAGATCTGATCCACAGGCTCTGTCTTGTCTCCTTTTACTTTCAGGGAGCTGAGCGGAAAATCAGGGATGAAGAACGAAAGCAAAGCAAGAGAAAAGGCAAGTGTGCTCACCACAGCTCCCAGGGAATGCCTGGTGGTGACCATGTCACAGCCTGCCCCCCCATGGAATGTGGGCTGGACTGAGCAGCGGCTGACATGGTGGGTGCCACGTGGCCCTGCTGCTATGTGGTGCCAACATTCCTGCCTTCACCAGGTGCCCCAGATGAGGGTAGAGGCTCACTCACAGAACTACAGAGTAGTGTCTTGGATTGTCCAAGTTCAGGCTTTTTCAGGTGCTGCTTCCTGAAAAGCAGCACATGTTCCCCAGGAGTGGCCACTGCAGTCAGGGCTTGTCCCCATTGGTATGCCTGGTGATAATACCCCTGAGAATCCAGGACATCTGGATTCCCATACATGCCATCTTCTTATGTGCAGTCTAATACCCACAGAGCTGCTTAGACCTTCCTCCAGGAAAGCCTTTGTTTTATTTTTCTTTCTTTAAAATGTGACCAATATTCATAGCCACAAAATCTTATATATAAAAGACTTTTGGGCCTTAGTGTTTCATCTGTGGTCCTGGGCTTCTAGCATGTTCTGTGACTCAACAGGTATCAGTCCCACTGCATGTGAGTCAGGATTCTCTCACTGGCATCAAAGTACTCCCTCTGAGTACCACTGGAGAGCAGCTAAGGAATGGGCAAGCCTCACTGCTGTATGCCAGGGCAGGTGATGGGAAGACAGAATCCACATTAATAAATTAGAAGCGACATTCCTATTCTTAAGCTCTCTGTCAGGTCTCTGGAAAGTTCTGGAGTCAAATGTAAGCTATTTAATAAGGGCCAAGAAGGTAGAAATACTTCTAGATTGTGTTCACACAAGTTTTAGCCTTTCAGATGAGGACTACCCATGCTTACTTCTGTTCCAAATCTACTTGTGTCTGTGTGATCTAAAGACACCTGTTTGTGTTGCTCTTAATAAGGCATTCAGTTGATTGTATTACAAGTGCACTCAGCAAATCCTTTATGTAAATGGTGGTTTTTCTCTTAGTGCAGGGCACAGGACATGGTCCTCACAATGCTATCATTTTAATTTTTTGAATTTGGGGGAAATGCTTGGTGATTGCTTCCAGCCTGTAACTATAATCGATTGATTACTTCCATTTGTCCCCCCAGTTTCTGACGTTAAAGTACCACTGCTTCCCTCGCACAAACGAACGGACATCACAGTATTCAAGCCCTTCCTGGATCTTGATACCCAGCCTGTCCTCTTCATTCCTGATGTACACTTTGCCAATCTGCAGCGGGGCGCTCATGTAGGTGACCAGTCTCTTCGGGGAGGCTGCAAGCACAAGGCCTGACAAAGAGGAACACTTTGGCCTTTTTTTGAGACAGGGTCCCACTATGTAGCCCTGACTGGTCTGGAACTTGCTATGTAGATCAGGCTGACCTTGAACTCACAGAGATCTACCTGCCTCTGTCTCCCAAGTGCTTGAATTAAAGCCACAATCACCACCATGCATTGGGACCACTCTGGCATTTTTCATGGAGTCAAACTGCAGTGGCCCTTGACCAGTTTAGTCTGTTCTCTGGAGTGTTCAGTCATGGTGGTCAGATACCCATACAATCAAATGCTAGATGGTGCTTATCCAAAGACTCCATTGGTGTTCATTCTTTCATATCATAACTAATTTAAAGGTGCCCAGAATACTGCCTAGAGAGATGGCGCAATGGTTAAGCGCACTGGCTGCTCCTGCAGAGGACCCAAGTTCAAATCTCAGATCTCACATAGCAGCTAACAACTGTCCATAACTCCAATTCCAGGGGATCCAACCCCCTCTTCTGACCTCCGTGGACATTACATGACATAGGTGCACTTACATGCAGGCAATACATGCATAAACATAAAATAAATAACAAATAATAAATAAAATATTTTAAAGGTGCCCAGAATAGCAACATAATCTGGAGTTTGAGTCTGTAATCATGTGAGTTTAGCTCAGGCAATACCTGTAACTTAGCGAGAACTTCCAAAGGCTCGTCCTGTGGCTTCTGTGGCTGAACTGTCATTGGCACATGCTATACATCTAAATCTTAGCAACTCATGCAAAATTTAAAAGTAACCACTCCTTGCTATGTGGTGAAAGCCGGAAATGGACTCTGGCAGAGAAACTTTTCTTTTTGTACTGAGCCTAGATAAATATCATGAAGATGCTCTTCCATGCACTTAGTAGACAGGTCTGTGAGGACTAATGGGTTTTTAGAGTTCCTGAGGAGAGCTGTTTCTGGTGAGAGGCTTCAGGATGAGCAGCAGACTTTCTGTAAAGTAGCTATTTTGAGCTTTTGGGTCTCTGCCATCTCCTGTGGGCTGTTCAGCTCTGCTGTTCTGAGGCAGAAGCACTCATGCTCAGTAGGTGAATGAACTAGTGGGGCTTCCTTTCATAGACTGTTTACATTAACAGGCTTCCACCAGGTTTGGTCCACAGAGCACCAACCTGAGTTAGACTTCAAGACAGCTGTAAAACTCTGGGCATTGAAAAGTGCAGCTACAAGATTGTGTCTTTTAGAAAAAAAGATGGTATTAGGTTGGTCAAATACAAAATTATCCCCATTTTAGGACTAATTACTTATGGTGAAATATTTTGAACATTTTTTGAAAAGCAATCTGTGTTTCTGGTTTTAGGTTCTTTCCATTGCCTCGGAAGAACTGGAGGGTGAAGGGTAAGATTTATGCTTTTTAAATTTTTTTACTTTAATAAGCTTATTTTATTTTGAAGTAATCGCAAACTTAGGGAAAAACTACAGACACAATACAAAGAAAAAGGAATGCATTTTCCTCTAAGCTTTGTAAGTGTAAGTTTCTCAGCCAAACCTGATAGTACTCACCTCCTGCCATCCCAGCACTTGGGAGCATTTGGGAGACTGAGGCACAAAGATCATGTATTCAGGAACAGCCTGGGCTTCACAAGACCCTGTTTCTTTTTTTCTTTTTTTTGAAACAGGGTCTCTCTGTAGTCCTAGCTGTCCTAGAACTCACTATGTAGACCAGGCTGGCCTCGAACTCTCGAATTCATAGAGATCCGCCCACCTGCCTCTGTCTCCCAAGTGCTGGGATTAAAGGCATGTGCCACCACATCCGGCAAGACCCTGTTTCAAATAAAAAAATAATTGCTGACTCCAAGCCCCAAGTACTGGGCTTTGTTTCTCTAAACAAAGTTCTCTCCCCACATCCAGTGGTCAGGACATGGACACTGATGCTTTAAGCCTCAGACTCCATTTCAGTTTTTCTGGTTGTCCAGTAACTTCCTTTATGGCAACACAGAATCCAGTTCAGAGCCTCACGTGGTGTCGTCATCCTTAGTCTGAACCAGTCTGGCTCTATGTACCACTCCTCATGAAACACATGATTGAGGAAATTACAGACCATTGTTTGGTGTGGCACCTTCAGCTCAGGCCTCACCATGCACTTCAGCTGTGTGTGTTGCAGTACTAACCTCCTGGCCACACTGCCCTCCAGCATATGCTCCCTTCGGTACTCAGTTCAGCTTATCCTGTTCCCGCACTCACAGTGACCACAAGACTAAGCCTCTCTGCTCTGGGAACGGGTACACCATACCCCCATAAATACCTCACTCTCCACCAAACTTTCCATTTATCCACTAATTTATTTTTCTCAGTACAGAACTTGGTTTCTCATTTGAGGTTGCAATCCATCACTGACACTCACAGGGATACATGGATTGCCCTAGAGTTGACACAGGGAAGTTAGCCCTTGGTGTGGCCACTGGTCCTTTTGATCTGGCACTCACTCTTAGAGTACTGCCTTGTACTCAGATGCTGTGTATTCCCTGTCTAGCCACAGAACCAGTCTCTTGTTCAAGAAACCCTGGCTCCCTTTGGTGGAGGAGGTATTTGGAGCCCAGGACAGGAACCTAAGGCTCCCCCTGAGGCCTTGCTGCTGTCCCATGTGGACAGCCTGTTGGCTCCCTTGGGCTCTGCACCCAGCAGCCTCTTGATGTTTATAATTGCTACAGTCTATTCAGGCTACAGCGTTATGGCTTGGGACTGAATTTTGAAGGAGGGGAAGGTTCTGCTTTGGTTCTGCTTTTTAAAATCTTTTTCTCCTAACACAAAAGTACATGGTGATAGAGAGCCTAGCTATCAGTACCATCATCAGCCCTCCCTTCTCTCACCTAGGTTTTGGTTTTGAGATCTGGTCTTACCCTAGCCCAGGCTGGTCCTAGGCTGCACTCAAACTTATGAGATCTTCCCTCAGGCTCCTGAATGCTAGGATTATAGGCAGGAACCATCACACCCAGCTGTTTTGGCTTGGTTTTTACTGCCCCTCAACTTTGTTGGGCTCTCAGCCCACACTTATTAAGGCAGCTGTGCCTTCTCCCGTGACTGAGCCTGCATTGCCTCTTCCATTCTTGGTGTTTCAGACATGGGTTCTGCAGGTACCTTCACCAGGTGCCTGTTGGGAACTGGAGATGAGATGCACAGATACTTTAAGACTCAACCCTTATTCCTGAAGTGAGTGCCTTCCTCAAAGTCAAGCATTCACTGTCTTCATTTTCAGTCATCTGACAGTTTCTTCACTCACCTCACAGACTCTCCCCAAAAACATGCCTTGCAGGCAGTTTCTCAGACCTGCGCACTTCCCCTCACTCCTTGTCCACTCTGCCCTTTTGTTTCTGTGGACACCACAATATGTTAAGCCTTAGAAGCTACGCTGTCACTGTCACCCAGTTCCTCTCAGACTGCCCTACCTGTGGGTCTAGAGACCCCTGCAATGCAGATTACACACTTTGGCCATAGCAGTTCATCTCATAAAACTTTCAGATTCCCTCTTTCCTGTGACATAAAATCTGATTCCTTACAGCAAGACAATGGAGCCAGCCCCCCGTTGGCCTGGCTTTGTGTTTCCCTCTCACACTTGTCAAACCTACCTCTGCTATAACATTTTTCTGGAAAGTGGCCCTCTGTCCTTGGGAAGGTGGCTAAGTTAATGGAAGAGCCTGGAAGATGTCCAACATGTCATTGGGTGGGCTAGGTCCATCACTAAATGCCTATGAACCTGCCCTCAGTTATTATCTTGCTTCGGACCAGATAAAGAATGGGAGGAATTTGAGTCTAGTATTTAGTGCTGTGCATTAAAACTCCTTCTACCTGTGTAGTTAACCAAAGTAGTAGTGACGTTGTTTTGAATCACCCACAGGTCTACCTTGAAAAGGGGGCCATTCGGACCGGAAGATGACTTTGTTGTCCCACCTCCTGCTAAACTGACTCGGATAGAGGAACCAAAGAGAGGTGTGTTGGTTCCTATTGATTGAGGGGAATTTTAAGTCAGTAGGGAGTTCACAAACTCGGTTGGTCCGGTTCAGGGGGAAGCTGCAGCTGGGTCCTGGGACTCAGGCTGTGGTGGTATGTGTTGCTGTCCCTGATGGAACTGTCTTAACACATACCTGATCTATCTTCATAGTTTGCTCATTAACTACTTCCTTTGCCTTTCCTCTTTGCTCTTGACTGGGAACTAGTGCTGCTCTATGTCCGAAAGGAGTCAGAAGAAGTCTTCGATGCCCTGATGCTCAAGACCCCATCTCTGAAGGGCCTGATGGAGGCGGTAAGGAGGACATTTGCTGTAGTCCTTTTTAAAAATGATAGAAACCTCCTCAGCTTCCCACTGAAAAGTTAGTAGACCTTCCAGTTCCTCTGCTCTGCTGGGAACTTGGCCCTTCCCCCAGCTGTGCTGTGTGTGCTTGTAGAACTGCCCACATTTGACCTGCCTTGGGCCATCCTCACTTAACTGCAGGTCTGTCTTGTTCACACGGGCATCTTGCCCCTCATGCCCAGCCTGTAGCTGGTAGATGGATCGCCTTTGCATGTTTGTCTGATGAATCTGTGATAACCTATGGAGTAATTTAACTTTTGTATTCTTGATTAAAGAGAGAATTCATATAGCTAATCACTTAGAAGCTATCAAAAATAAAAACTTCATTCACCTGGGTGTAGTGACACACATTTTTAAGCCCAGCACTCTGTGAGATTGAAGCCAGCCTGTCTTATATAGCGAGTTCCAGGTCAGCTAGGGCTACAGGGAGACCCTGTTTCAAAAAAAAAAAAAAACAACCCTTCATTCATAAAACTGGCTCGTTTGGACCTGGCACATATCTGTAACTCTAGCATTGTGGAGACTAGGACAGATTGAGAGTTTAAGGCCAGTCTGGGCTATGTAATTATACCCTGTCTCAAAACAAAAATGCCAGCTTCTCAGTCTGCCTTTGCTCCTTGTCTTTGCTGAACTGTGCAAGACCTTACCCAGAACATATCCAAGAAAATGCAGAAGCACGACCTGTGGCAACCACAAATCCGCCACAGGAGCTACAGGGGGCTGTAGACAGCTGGCTGATGTCCCCTTGAGGATGTCAGTAGGAAGAAGCATAGGAGAAGGGTGCATGTTGACTCCCCTTTCTGCTTTGCCCTTGGCCAAAATTCTAGTATTAGTGCTACATCCTGATGTTTTCCAACCTTAGGCCCCTATCGACCATGGGAATCTTTAATGTCAACATGGTACATAATTGAAATTGGACTAGAAACATCCCTCAGTTCTCCTGACAACTGTGGTGTGCTGAACCCACTTGATAAGTCTTTTTAAAAAAAAAACACAGTTTCACTATTTAACCCAGGCTGGCCTAGAACTCACTATGTAGCATTGTAATGGCCTCAAGCCCCAGATCCTACCTCTACCTCTCCATTGCTTGGATTTCAGGCATGGACTGCCACAGCCAACTTTGTGCCAGAAGCCACTGGAGTCACTAGCCTGTGTGACATAGTGCTAAATGGAGTGTAGTATCCAGATAGGAAAGCAGAAACAATTAAAAAGAACAAGAACTTCACATGTAGATCTTCAGATACAGAAAATGCACTGAAAGTGAACAGAGCAAAAGAGAGGACAGTGAGTCTCATGTGATCTTCCTGCTTGAGTTGGCCTCAACTAAGTGATCTTCCATCCTGAGTGCTGGGATGACAGATGTGCCCACCATGCCCATCTTCACTGTTCCTTAAGAATCACACAGACTTGATTATAAGCTTGGGGAGTGTGGAAAAGATGGATAGTTACTGTATCTGTTGTCCACAACCTTCAAGAAATGAATGCATGTTGTTTGCCAGACCCACAGCAGGCATAGTACAGAGGGGGCCCTGTGTGAGCTTGGGCCTGAATGAGTGAAGCTGTGGTGATACTGGCTTCTTGGGTGGAGCGAATACAGCACAGCAATGCAAGTAGGCAGTGAAGGAGCTAAAACTGCTCTGTGAGTGAACACAAAGCCTTTTAATTTACAAAAACAAGTCATGGCCACATAATCCATCACATTGTCCCAGTTATTAATTTTTTTTCAATCATGTGGCTTGTTGGCAACTATATTAATTAGGGAAAATACCAGCACCCTTTACCAGGACATGGGCTGGGCCCTGATAATCTCTTTATGTAAGCATCTTTGATGAATAGAGGCTAAAGTAAGCTCAAGGCCAGTCTGGGCTACATAGTAAGATTTTGTCTCAAAAAAACAAAACAAAACAAAAGACAGCAACAACAGAAAACAAGAGGTGGGAGAAGTGGCTCAGCAATTAAGAATGCTTGCTCTTGCAGGAGACGTAGGTTTGGTTCCCAGCACCCACATTGGGTGGTTCACAGCTGCATATAACTCCAGTTCCGAGGGATCCAGCACCCTCTTCTGGCCCACGAGGGTGTATACACACACACACACACACACACACACACACACACACATAAAAATAAATCTTTTGAAAGGTGGGGCGGAGAGATAGATAAGTGGTTAAGAGCACTGACTGCTCTTGCAGAGGACCCAGGGGACCCAGGTTCAGTTCCCAGGACCCATATGGCAGCTAAGAACTGTCTGACTCCAGTTCTAGGGAATCCAGCACTGCCTTCTGGCCTCAACGGGCATTGGACACACAGGTACACTTACATGCAGGCAAAACACTCATACACATAAAGTAAGTAAATAACAAGGTAAAATGGGAAGTTAAGTGACTATATATTCTGTGTGCGTGGTTATTTGTTTTTTAAGGGCTTGAAAATAGCATTTTGTGATTGTTTTTCTCTGTTCTTTTAGATCTCAGACAAATATGATGTCCCCCATGACAAGATTGGGAAAATATTCAAGAAGTGCAAAAAAGGGTGAGCTGGGATGGGCATTCTGTGTGGCCTCTGAAGATAGTCACACCATAGCACACTCACATTGGCTAGAAACAGCCATAAAAACATCCATGCTACCAGCTGGGGGTTTTGGTGTTGTTTTATTTGGAGACGGGGTTGAGTCAGGGTCTCACGCAACATGTATCCCTGGATGACCTGGAACTCACAGAGTTCTCCTACTTCAGCTTTCTAAGTGCTGGGATACATGTGTGAAGCACCATGTCTGGCTTGCTTTTCCTTATTAAATTATTTACTTAAAATTGATCTTCCTGAGGCTGGAGAGATGGCTCAGCAGTTAAGAACACTGGTTTTTCTTACGGAAGACCCAGGTTCGAATCCCAGCACACACATGGCAGCTAACAACTGTCCGTAACTCCAGTCCCAGGGGATCCAACAGCCTCTTCTGACCTCCTCAGGCATTGCATGACACTATTGCACTTACCTACAATGCAGGCAATACACGCATACACATAAAATAAAAATAATAAATATTTTTTAAAGTTTTTTAAAAAATTGATCTTCCTTTGAAGGTCAGTTTATTCACGGACAATCTATATTTGCCCTTCCCGTTCCTAGCAGCCATGAAGCAGCAGCACCATGTTCCAGGGTGTGTGATGAAATTGATCAAAGATATCAGAAACCTCCATTTCCACCCCCAGCCAGGTGCTGGCCTGGGCAGTACATGCCACTTGCCTAATTTTCACTTCATCTTTGAGATGGGTTTTAGTACATATAAATGAGACACCTGAGGCTCAGAGAGTGCAGCAGGCTTATCCAGGATCACATGGTTTGATGTGACTCAAACCAGTTTTGACTGACTCCAAAAACCCCCCACCTTTTTTTTTTTTTGTCTTTTTGAGACAGAGTCTCCCTGTAGACCTAGTTGGCCTGGAACCTGGAACTGGCTATGTAGACAAGCTGGCCTTGAACTCACAGAGATCTGCCTGCCTCTGCCTCCTGAGTGCTGGGATTAAAGGTGTGCACCACCACGCCTGGCTCAGTCCTTGCCCTTTCTACTTCAACACCATACCCTGGGTTGTATTTCAAGTTATATAACATTGCTTCTTGTCCAGAAATTAATTTTATTACATTTTATTTCTTTATTTGTGTGTGTGTGTGCTTGTATACATGCATGTATACACATCCATGCCACAATGCACCTGTGGCGGTCAGAGGATGACTTACAGGAGTCAGTTCTCTCCTTCTACCATGTGGGTTCAAGGGATAGAATTCAGGTTGGCAGACTTGGCAGCAAGCACCTTTACCTGTTGAGCCATCTCACTGATCCTAGAAATTATTATTAATTATTTTCCTTAAGTGTTTGTGCACTTTGCCATGGATAAGCAGAGAATATAGTACAAAACCTTTTTGTCTTATTTCTAAACCAAATCCTAATTAGAATTTTCTAGATGAAAATTAATGGGAAGGATTAAGCTTAAGTAGTTTGTTTAAACTTTGAGGATAACTTGCTGGGAAGATGATTGGCTGCTGGGACGATGATTGGCTAAGTGGCTGTGACTTCATTCAGTTCACAGTGATGAGCTCTACTCCTACACTTTTTTATGTGTATAAGTGTATTGCCTGCATATATGGAAGTGTACCTGTGTTGTACAATGCCTGTGGAAGTCAGAAGAGGGCATCAGGTCCTCTGGAACTGCAGCTAAGGATGGTTGTTAGCCGTCATGTGGGTGCTGGGAATCATATCAGCCAGTGCTCTTAATTGCTGAGCCGTTTCTCCAACCCCTATACTGGTACACTTTCTAAAGCTCGACAACGCATATTCTACAAGTTTACTTTTTCATATTGGGTCCCATTTAGTGAGTGAGCACTCTCAGAAGTGATAAACAGGCAGCATTTCCTGTCTTCCCCTGCATCCACCCCTGGAATGCTTGTCTCGGCTCCCTCCCACCCCAGTTCTCACTGGTCCTGCCACAGACATAGGCACCATGGTTCTCCATCTTCAGGATAAGGCAGGTGTGGCATAGGAGGGTATTAGCAGTGTTCTCACAGGTCAGTGCAGAGCTCAGGTAAATCCAAGTCTCACTCCAGAGCTGAGTGGGGTGGTGGAGATTCATCTCCTGTCTCTTTGTCCAGGATCCTGGTGAACATGGATGACAACATTGTGAAGCATTATTCTAATGAAGACACCTTCCAACTGCAGATTGAAGACGTGGGCGGATCGTACAAACTCACCCTGACAGAGATCTAAGGCATGGGGCCTTCAGCCCCCCAGGAGTGGGAGTTCCATGAAAGTATTCCACAGATCTTATTGTCAGCCAGCGAAGGAGCCCAGGTGCCCACTCTGCAGACACAGTGATGTCAGGGAAAGGACTCCTTTCATGCAGGAGATGGAGCTGTGTGTAATATGTTGCATTGGTGTTTTTCACAGGACAGAATCCACCTATCGATGTGTTTGAATTTCTAATGTACTTAGGAAACTAAAAGTGAGAACTTTATCCTGGGGTTTAGCAGACTCTGGGAACCTTTGGGCTTTCTGCTACATTACTTCTCACAATCTTGGGAGATTGGCCTTGAGTCCATGATAGCGGTGGTCAGCTGGCTAGTGGGAGTCAGGAAGGCAGTAGGCTTGGCTTTGAGGGTTTTGTGTTCTTGCCTGACCTCAGTCTAACTTGATTGCCTCAGGGAGTGCGCCCAGCCCCTGAGCAGTGAAGGGCTGAGCTCTCTCCCTCCACCTCTCATCCCCCAATAATGTTTACTATTAGGGCACGTTACTGGAACCTTCCCTTGCAATTTCCTTGGACATATCAACTGCCTCTCTTATGAAGAACTTAAAATGGGTTATAGTGTGAAATTAGTTAAGTTAAAGCTGAATTGTATATAAGTGCAATATCTTTTTGAAGGTCTGTCTGTAAATGTGTACATACGTGTCTGATATAAATATATAATATATAAATACAGTATCTGTGTACAGATAGTGAAGGTAAACAGAAAGATCTACCTTGAAAACTTCCCTAAAGAAGAGGTTAAGTTATTTTTGATAATATGGACCAAGCAGATAGAATATTGTGTTTTCCCAAACACAAGCATAGCCAGGCCATCTTGAGTGACAGAATCTGTCTGCTCTTGAGAATGTCCTCGTGGTTTCTGCACTGTTTAGCAAGTGGAGTGAAAGGAGGACTCGACTGCAGTTGCTGCCTGTGGTGTATACAAGTGTCAGCCAGCTGTGCCCATGCAGAATGAAAAACAGGGTCACAGCACACTACTGTCACCACTGTGAGCCAGGGATGGAACCCAAAATGGGCCTGAGAAGTGCTTTGACTTTACTGTGTTTTAGAGCATCAAAGCTTTGATGACCTTGTATGTTACAATACTAGAAAACACTCATGAACTTATATTACTGTGGCAGGGGAGTGTTTTGTACACATTTAAATATTTAAGAAAACTTTTAAAATGTAATTTTATAGCAAAAACTGTAACAAATATAATTGCGGGTCTCTTTTAGGTTCAGGGAACTAGAATAGGTCATTTGTATAAGTAGGATTGTTAGCTACAATCTTAAGCTAAAATAGCCTAATGTATGTGAACTAGATTGCTGGTTTTCTAAGATATGGGATATGGGTTATACAATAATATTTTATATTTTGTTTTATGAAATCAATTTTACTTGTTTTTAATTGTATCATTGAACATATATTTTAAACCAAAGGGATTAAATTTTATATGTATATTTCATAATATGTCATTTTCCATTATTTATTTAACTCCTTCATTCCTTTTTTTTTTTTTTTTGTCTTTTTGAGACAGGGTCTCTCTGTAGCCCCAGCTGTCCTGAACTCACTATGTAGACCAGGCTGGCCTCGAACTCACAAAGATCCACCTGCCTCTCTGCCTTCCAAGTGCTGGGATTAAAGGCTTGCGCCACCACGCCCAGCTACCATCATTTTCTTTTTCTTCCCTTTTTTATTTTTTGAGTTCAGACTGACTTTGAACTCATGACACACCTGCCTCAGCCTCCTCAACACTGACTGGGTTTACAAGCATGTACCACCATGCCTAAAATATATTTTTTAATGAACATGATGCAATGAATGGAGCCAACTCCCTGGATGATTTCCTGTCACATCTGTGCGTTTTCCACTCTGATCCTTGAGTGCAAAGTCAAGCCTCTGTCTGCAGCCTGGGCTACCGATGACTTAGTGGCTCAGGTTCGGCTCATCGTGGAGAGCTAGGGTAGATGGCAGCTGTCCTGTGGGAACTCTTCTTCCTGCCCCTGTTCCCAGTTCTGCTGCCAACCTCCTCCTCACCCAGGTCTGACTTCTGACCCAGAACCTGGCTTTGCCCTGGCAGCAGCAGCCTTCCTGGCCTCCCCAAGAGAGTTACCCTGTTCCTCAGCCCAGGATCCCTCTGAGCTGCTTCTGGTTGCAATAGGACACCTCTCTGGAGGGCCAGTTGATGTCCTTATCACCCTACCCAAGTCTAGTTACCTGGTAGATGCTCAAGAAACTTGTAATGGTGAGGTGACTGACTGGTCAGTACCTTCAGGTCACCCACTCACTTGCAAGACTAAAGCAGGAGGGTTTTGTAGAAGTTATAGGCTCAGAGATTAGTCCGGATGGGACTTGGATCATTAGTCCTCAGAGAAGAGCCAGTAGGTAAAAATTGTCTGGTGATTAGTGAGTGCTGAAGCACAGTTACCTGACAGAATGGCTTGAGGAAAGATGGTTTTAAGGGTATGACAGACCCCAGTTTGAGAGGGCATTCCAGAGGGAGGCCGAGTGGACCCCTGCATGTGGGGGACAGGCTGGACCACACCTGGGTAGAAGTGTTGAGCTGGTGTGCTTTGTTCATTCCCGTGACTCCATGTGCTCCAGGACGGAAGAGGTGTGTGACTGCCACGCAGTGTTGGCAGCATTTGCATCTCGCCTGATTCCCCAGCAGTGTGCAAGTCTTTGGTTCCTTACCTCTGCCTCCTGGAGGTCAGACCTAGCTCCCAGAGGGACTCCCAGGTTGTGCTAGGGTCTCTGTCTGAAGCCCCATTTTAAGTGCCATGTAAAGACCTAGGACCTTCTAGTTCTGGGCTAGAAGGAGAGCCTTGTCTCCTATAGCAGCAGAGCTGAAAATCAAATACAGAGCCTCATCCTGTGATTGCCTGGGTTATAGCCATGCAGGCTGTCTGTTAATGTAAGGAGATTGCTTGGAGGGAAATGGGACCCTGTAAGTTGGAATGGGGCCATGGGAAGATGGACAAAGCCGTAAAGAGACAGCTTCCCCATCCCCAGTGACAGTGGCCTCCCCGGAGCCCATAGCGCTAGTAGCTTTTCCACCTCCTTGAACAAAGTCCTCACAGTGGCAGGAATGGAGATTATACATTGGCTCAGTAACAGCCTTCCCCTCACCATGGTTGGTGTGGCTGTGGCCACTGCTGAGTGTCCAGTCTACTATGAGCACTGAGCCCCTCTCCATCATAGAAGGGACACTGTTACTGAAGTGTGCTTCCGTTAAAACAAGCATCTGCAGGCTTACAGAGTGCCCTGTCCACTGCCATGGAATTCTACACAGCATTGCCTCTGATCAAGGCACTCACTTCACAGACAAAGAAGTTTGGCAGTGAGCCCATGTTTGTGGAATTCTCTGGTCTTGCTATGTTCCTCACCATCTCAAGGGCTGGCTTAATAGAATTGTGGATTGTCTTTTGATACCTCAGTTACAAGGCCAACTATCCTTTATGAGGCTAAGACAAGTTTCTTCAGGAAGCTGCATGGGCTGTCCATGTGCATTCAATATATGCTGAGGATTCTCCTATAGCCAAACTTCTCATGTCTATGCACCAAAGGGTGATGTGGGAATGGCCCTATTCACTATGACTCCTCAGTGACTGGCAAAATTTTGCTTCCTGTCTGGTCATGTTAGCATATACTTTAATCCCAGCACTTTCAGGAGATCAAGGTCAGCCTTGGCTGCTTGGATTATTTAAGCCTGGGCTACATAAGACCCTGTCTTAAAAAAGAAAATAAGGGGCTAGAGAGATCACTCAGCAATTAAATGTGTGCTGCTCTTGCAAAGGCCCACATTCAGTTCACGCACCCACATTAAGTGACTCACAACCACCTATAAACTCCAGCTCTAAGGGATCTGATGCCCTCATCTGACCTCCACAGGCACTTGTACTCATGCACTTACCCACATACAGACACACATATACACATAATTGTTTTTAATTTAAAACAAAATGTTTTGCTTCCTGTTCCTTTGACTTTGTGCTCTGCTGGCCCAGTGATCTTGATTGTAAAGGGAGGAGTGCTTCTGCCAGGAGACAATACTGAGTCCATTGAGTTGGAGGTTAAGACTGCCACCCAGCATTTGGGCTCCTTGTGCCTGAGTCACCAAGCAAAGAAGAAAATTGTGGGGTGGTCTGGGTTAACTGATCAAAACTGCCAACATGAAATTGGACTACTACACGATAGAAATAAGGAAAAGAAGCACAGGAGCACAGGATCCCTTAGGGCCCATCTTACTATTGCCATGTCTTACATTTAAGGTCAGTGGAAAACTATAGCTCAATCCAGGCAGGACTACAGATGACTGAATTAGTTCTTTTTCTCATTACTATGACAAAACATTTAGCTAAAGCAACTCAGGGAGGGAAAGATTTGAGGAAGGCGTGGCAGCATGAGCTTGCCCCCATGAGGAGGTTCAGGAAGCAGAGGGGAAAGGCAGGTACTCAGTTGACTTTCTCTTTCCTTTTCATTCAGTTGGACACCAAGCCCATGGATAGAGTCACCCACATTCAGGGCAGGTCTTCCCCCTCAGTTAATCTTCTAGACATGTCCTTTCAGATACACCCAAATGTGTACCTCATTAATGCCCTAGATGTCCATTAATCCAATCAAGTTGACAATCAAAATTAACCCAGACTCTCCAGGAGATAAGGGACTCACTGATGTATTGAGCTTGCTTCAGTCAGAGCAAATACAGAGCAGGTAGAGGAAGGAGGTTGTAAGTGCCAGCTCCCGCCACATAACGAGTCAGCCACAAAAGTGACTATGATTGTCATGAGTAATTCCTCTTTATTTTTTTATGAGTACATTTGTATGCATGGATTCGTGTATGACACAAATGTTTTTTCTTCCTGTTTATTTGTTTACCATGTAATATAAGGTATGGATTACCTTATACCAGTATTTGAGGATTGTCACTTTTGTAGCATTGTATTTAAGTTGTGGGTTGTTAGGGGAATAAACGTCACACAAGTGATGAGTCTGTGTGCTAAACTGACAAACGTTGGACAAGATAAGAATTCCCAAGGAGCTGGAGAAACATCACTTCTGACAGTCTCTAGACTGTTTCTGGAAGAGATGAGCATTGGAGAACCAGGCATGGTGGTGGTGCACTTGGGAGGTGAAGGGAGGAGGATCAGCAGTTCAAGGTCACCCTTGACTGCATACTGAGTTCAATACCCGTCTAGGCTACAGGACTTCTTTCCTCAAAAAGCAAACAAACAAGGGCCAGCAAGATGGCTCAGCAGGTAAAGGCCCTTATAGACAAGCCTGACGATGTGAGTTCGATCCCCAGAACATACACAGTGGAAAGAGAATGGACTCCCACAGGTTGTCCTGTGCTGTAACATGTGCACCATCCAACTCTGGGTCTGATTAGAACAAAAAAGTGAGAAAGGGCTGATTTACTCTCGTTGAGCCAGTGCACCCATCTTTTTCTGTCTTCAGACATGGGTGCTCCTGGTTATCAGGTTTCCCTGAGTCTCTGGTAAGCAAATGAGTGACAGTGGAACTTCTCTGCCTCTATAATTGTGTGGTCCATGCCTCTATCTCCCCTTATATGTGCATGTATGTGTATAAAAGAGACAATGGGAGATATGTATACATGGTTATATACAAATTACACTTGCTTACATATAGATATCTACCTATCAACATATCTATCAATCTATCATCTACCCCTACCCCTTCTGTTTCTCAAGAGCATTTTAATCCACCAAAGGTCACAGAGTGCCCATTTCAGAGGTGAGCAGGCAATCAACCCCACTCCCTATCCTAGACAGTGTCTAGGGTGACCCCAATACCTAAGATTCAGCAATGCACAAAGGTGGCCCAGGTGGAAGCTGTTCTTGCCACAGTCCTTGTCTGGCCTCCTGGGGTCCTGGCCCCCCACACTGCTGTAGTTCCCAGCTCCCCCATAGGCCAGATTCTTCCATGACCTCACCCACCAAATCTCTGTCCTGCCAGAACATAGCAGGAGAGTGGACTTCTGGCTCTGCCAGTGCAGATGGAGCACAAGGTGTACCTAGCAGCCTGCACTGATGACTAGTTACCAGGCTCTTGCATGGAGCACTTCATCTCTGTTTGCACAACTGGTAGTGATAAGACTGAGCAAACATCCCCCAGGCCATGCAGCCAGACCATGCTCTTCAGAACCAGGGTGTCCCTAGGACCAGTAGTCTTTCTCCAGGAAGTCCCCAAGGAGGAGTGAGAAGCCCACACCCACATCAGCTATGCCTTAGAGTCCGGAAGCAGAGCAGGACTGGGCAAGGTCATCATCTCCATTTCAGAGAGAGGCAACCTGGCATCTCAGGGCTCAGTGACTTGTCACACAAC